GGCCCGCCAGGGTGCTTACCCTGGCGAGCCGCGTGCCGAACGTTGCTGACCCCTGGTGTAATTTATCAACATTCTATTTGGGAAGGATGCCAGAATCAAAGCTATATAAGTAATCTTCACTACTTTTCATCTTGTATTGCTGTTTATACCTCTTCAAAGTGAGGGGGAGTGCACAGCAGCTGTAAAATGCTGCCATTCTGTTTTGGTAATGTTTTACATCCACTTGTCATTTACACCTATGCAAAGTGGATGTAAAACATTATAAAAAGGTAGTATTTTATACTCACTTTGCACACAGAGGTGTGAATGACTGCACATGGTACAAAGTAACAGAGCTCATTAGTTTTATCAAGTGCAAATAAATGAAGATTTTGTCACAACACGCCATCCTTAACTCTGACCCACGGTTGATTGATTTGCTTAATGCATTTTGAAATCTTGACTTATATTTATCATATCCTACTATCCCTTGTAAGAAAATAAGTTTATATGTCAATTGACAATAGAATTTCAGGTAACACAGGTATTACTGTTTCTTAATAATGTTATTTATGTACTTTAATAGGAAGCATTTATAGGAAATGTACTACTTTTGACTTATGTTAAATTTACATATAGATGTGGAATAGTTTTTGAGGAGGTTCAATGAATTGATATATAATTTTGGGTTTTTTTTTCAGAAAGTATTTTGTAGTATGTTCATGAAAATAATATTTATTTTGGGTCAGAGTTAAAGTGATTGTGCTGTGGAATATGCACATTTGTGCCATTGATAGGAATAACATATCCAGGCTTATTTAGTCTGATTTTCAGAGGTCCTGACCACTCACAATGCTTTTTGTCTTCAATGCCTGCTCTATGCCAGCTGGGAATCTTCCATGCTTGTTAGGTGGAATCCTCAGGTCGCTGGATGAGCTGGGTTTCCAGATGCTTTGTGCTGAGCAGCACGAAACAGCAGGAGGGAGGCAAGGATTTGGCACACAGTTTTGTAAATCTTAAATAAACTAAACTGATTGTGAAAATTCTGTGACTTCAGTGTGCCCAGGATTTTATCCTGGTCTTTTCATAGGGTTGTACAGCACTTAGCACAATGAAGCTAAATAATGCCTGGAGAGCAACATGCATATTGGCCTAGTAAGTTTGAAATTGTTGTGGAAATAATCTGTCAGCAAAACAAAACTGTTTACAAGCAACAGGTCACCTCTGGTTTTAACTGTTGTAGAAAGCTCTAGTCCACAAAAGTGCACTGTACTGAACAATGAACTGTCTCACTATCTTTGCTTTGGCCACTGAAATAATTCAGCAACAACCAAGCTATATTCTCCATCCACTTTTAGTTTTCTCCATAAGTTTAAATGGCATAAAAATGTGTATAATGTTAAAGTGGCAATTTCTTAAAGATGGCCAGAAGAGGAAATTTGAGTTTGTGCCCATGTTTGCTGCTGCTTCAAACAGAGAAGGGCTGTAAGGTTGTTTGGGTTTTCTCTTTATTTCTTTCAGATTGTATTTTACTTCAGAAATATCAGGAATGTTAAGTTGTGCCTTCCCTTCCTGTATAGATGACTCAAGTGGGCATTGGGAGCCTTCTCATCTTTTAACTGAAGAGGGGATGTTGATTCTTGAAGCCACAGATCTTTTCTTACAAGTGTTTTGAGATAAACAGGTGTCACAAAAACAAACAAAACTGTTTAAACTGTCTGAATAAAAATCACTTCTCTGAATCAAGTGCTTAATTGCAAAGGTAAAGACTTAGGCCACAATCCTTCAAACACACATACACATACTTAATTTTAAGCACACAAGTAGCCTCACTGAAGTCAATAAGCTCTTACTGAGGGCACTAGCTCTGTGTACACATTGGGGAGACACACTGAATGTGCACATAGACAGTGTAAAAAGGATGTTTTTCATGAAGAAGGGTCTGTGCTTTAGGCCAGCATTTCCACTCAGCCAGGGCAGTTTTCTTGTTTAATTTTAATTGTCGCTTACTAGAAAGTGACAACACTGTTACAAAATTCTTTTCCAACATCAAAACCACATCTGAAAGTATTTCATGTTGTCAAATGTTTGGGAAGACACATTAAATCAAATGCCAGTGGGCACCTTTCTGTTTTACTGGCATAGCAGATACTGACCTGGGTTACGTGGACATCATGTGTACTTCATGTTTGACTGAATGAGTAATATGATAGGAAGGTGAGGGGGCTAATTTTAGTTCAACCCTTAAGATCAGAAACTTCCCCCAACATGTAATTTACAGACACTCATGTAAACAAACAGAGCAATCTGCTTGAGATACATTCTAACGGCAAGGTATGCATTATGAAGAGGGTTAGAGAAGAGGCTAATCTACACACATTTGCTGTGAAATAAAAACCAAAACCAGTGAATTAAAACTGACTTAGTTTTTTGGTGCAAGTCTAGGCATTGACTTATTTTAAAATAAAGTGACCAAAATGTATTTATTTTTTGAAAAGAGTATCCCACACATAGACTTGCACTGAAAGGTTTTGGGAAAGTGATTGATGCAAGGTTTATAAATCAATGCAAGTGTAGACTAGGTCTATGATCGCCAGAGCCACCAGAAATATCAGCTCCAGGAAGCCAATCATTTCCAGCTCTTCTCATTCCTCAGTCTGTGCAAAAACAACCTTAAAGGTAATTGCTGGTGCTCAATTTAAACCACCCCTGCAAAAGCTGTTTTGGAATCCCCATTATTTGTGTACTGCTTCTCACGATTGCTGAATCCTGAAATTACAGAGGAGATCCTCTGAAGATTAATGGAACCACCGTCTATGGACAGACAGCTTGAAGTGATGAAGCATCTGTCAGCCTTCACGTAGTGACATTTCCGACAAGGTGTAGTAGCGCCGTTTAGGATTTTCAGTCTTCAGGGACTTATTTGATTAAGAGTTAAGGGGCTCGCTACTTACTCACCACCTACTCGCTCCTTAATACGGTCCTCAAATTAAACTCCTTCATGTAACCCAGCTCTGTAGTTGGCAAGGGAAAGGGGTGGTACAAGATTGGAAGGGGAGGTGGCCGCCACCCTCATAAACTCTTAATGAGCTGCGAAGGTTTGAACAGGCAGATCAGGGGCTCTCCAAGCGTTGGTTGATTGCGAGCTCTCAACCATCGCTCGCGCGCCCTGCACTACGTTGTATAGCGGGGCTGCCGTCCCTTCTCTCCACCTGCGTTCACACAGCCCAGCCCCAGCGCGCACGCTGGGAACCGGCACGGCTCCGGAGTTAGGGGGAGGGGAGCAGACAGGGTCCCGCCCGGCCTTCAGCAGTGGCCGGGGACGAGGTGCCCGTGGGACTGGGGTGGGGAGTTAATGGAGGACAAAGCCCGTCTCTGCTTGGCGGGGATGCTCACCGCTACCCCGCGGAGGGGGTCTCCCCTGCCCTTGGCTCCGAGTCCCCTCCCTGGCCGCTGCCGCCTGCACCCGAGCTCCGAGGAGTGCCCCCGGGGGCCCCTCTGCCGCCGCCCTGCCCGCGGCCTCGCCCCCGCCTGGGCTCGCGGTGCTGGCAGAGTGAGGGCGGCGGTTAACGCGCATGCTCGGCTCGCTCGGGCATGCTCGTTAACAGCCGGGGAAGCAAAATGTAACGGCGCGGAGCGAGCGGGTTCTCCGGCACTCGCCCAGCGGAGAGGAGCGGTACCTGCACCTGCACCTGCGGCGGGGCTGAGCGCCGAGCCGCGGCTCGCCTCGGGCTGGCTTCCCGCTGTCCTCTCGCCCCCGGACACGCCGCCGCGGCCGGTCCCTAGCGAGCGGGGAGCCGAGCGGGGATGCGGGGCGGCAGCAGCAATGTGGATTTATATTCGCCTGCGCTGAAGCCGCCGGGGAGAGACGCAAGGGCACCAGCCCTAGAGACTATGGCTAGCGGCTCCCGCCGGGCTGAGCCGGGGCGCTGCTGAAAGTTCCCACCCAACAACCCCTCGGGCGAGGTAAGTTCGCCTGGGAGGCTGGGATCCGAGCCGAACTTTGCCTCCGCCGTCGGGGCTGCCCGGGGAGGGGAGTGTGGGTGGCTGCCGCTGCGTGAGTGTCTCATGCCTCAAGCCCGCTCGCCCAGCCTTGACCGCTGCGTGCCTCCGACTGGTGACAGCTGCGGGCTTTTCAGAGCGCGAGAGAAACACGCCCGCCCCGAACATCTGTGTGTGGAGCCGTGAGCCGTCCAGGTGCCTTAGGCGTGTGTGTACATCTGTCCGCGATGTGTCATGGCCCCCCACCCCGTATTGTACGCTTGGTAACGCGTATTCTATCCAGAGCGGTGTGCGCTGTGGTTCTAGCTAGTGCCTGGGCAATCTAGCTCCCGCACGTCAAATATGTGCTGTGTGTGTTTAGCTCTGTGTAGGAAGGAGGAATAAACTCTTTTTTTGCCTATAGGGGGTCTCCTTTGCTCACGGTTGCTGTTCTGCCAGAGCGCTCTAACAAGTGGACTGGGTGGCTTTGCAGGGTGGCGGGGCTCGCTCGCTCTCTTTCCTCTCTGGGCTACTCGCGCCCCAGACTGATGCTTCCATTGCCCCTCGGTAGGAATCATGGTACTGCTTAATTGGAATACATCCGTGCCAGACGGGGGGTTGTGTCTGTGGCTTCCCCTAACCGGTCTGGAAGCGTAAACTGGGATCTTAGTAAACTTAGCAGAGATACAGTAAGTCTGCAGTATTTCTTCTCGTACTTAAAATTGTGGGGGAGTAGGCAGTACTGTACGTGTAGCTTATAAGGGAAGTTTTTCTTGAGACACTTGAATTCCAGTTGTATTATTAGTAGTAGTACTCTTATTTGTTTGTTTCTTTATTTATTTAAAGGAAGATAATAGTACATTTCACATCAAGACCCAAATCCTTTGCGAACTCAGAGGCTGAGAGAATGAAATGGCTTTCTTTGTGGGTCAGCAACACGATGATCTCTCTCTCTCTCTCTCTCTCTCTCTCCCTTAGTGAATAGGGGATGGGTCTATCTTATTTTTGATTGATCCTTAGAGGTAATCACAATTAAGAATATATTTAACCATTACCTTCCTCCCACCCTTATGTGCTCTGGTCATTGGACAGTTGCAGAGGCAATAGATACAAGTAAGAGTTGTAATGATCTCCACTCCTAATGTTTTCAGCTATTTGTGTTTTTGTTTGTTTTTTCTTTTGTTTTAATGCCTTTCAGCTACAGTTTAAAGTCAAACACTTTAGGCTTGGAAGATGAATGCTAACACTGTCATGATAATTATATGTAGCGAGAAAGCTCTTTCTAATTGTATGTCACTACAGAGTTATGGCAGCCTGTGTCAATTTTTGTTAGTAGAGACTAGTAAGTATGTTTTAGTTGCTCTGATCAAATAGAGAAATTTCGTCTCTATTGACTTTAAATTAAAGGTACCCATTCACATTGTCAGAACGAAGTATGTATGGGTTAATGTTTCATCAATCATGTTCATAGTAACTAAAGCTTGTAGATATCCGTCTAGACTGTGTACTGTTTCTCTCTAGTTGTAATTAACAAGTCAGATGTCGCATATTGTGAAAACAAACAGCAAAGACCAATGTTGTTGTGCAGACACATCACAAATGTCTACTTTATCTCCAAATGTTTTCATATTGACAATTCTCAACTGTATTTGTGTATTCGTGTTCTTTTGGCTATTAATTGCCAAGCTTAACTACAAAGTCTAAATGATTTCATATTTAGAGCACAAACATTCCTGGTACTGTCAAAAATAACAGTTTATGAATCATAACTAGTGAGGTACACTGTAACAGGAAAAGAGCTATACATCAAAATGTGAGGCACATCCTTAACTTCTGCCCTGTGTGTGGTTTCTTTCTCTTTACATCTTGTTTTGTGTCTAATTTGCAATGTTCTCAGTTACTTTATAAATGCAAGACTTTTCCCGCAATGAAATATAGGAATAAAAATATAACTAATGTCCATTTTTCCTACTTGAGCCATATCTGTAATACAAAGACCTTTCTAACATGTTGAAGTATTTGTAATCTTTGTGGTGGTTTTAAATTAAGAGCTCTTAAAGTTCTTGCGAGTTGAGAGCTCTTAAAACAAAGTAATGTGGGAATCTTTCAGTGTTCTTGAATATCACAAATGCATTTTAAATATTATTCATTTTTCTCCCTAAAATTAGTTATGCTAAGCAGTAGTTACAAGTTTTCAAGTTGATCTCAAAAGCATATATTTTTTTTTAAATAAAAGGTGTTCCTTGAAAATACTTTGTCAAAGAAATAACGGAATGCCTTTTTAAAAGATAAACATACCCACATTTCACTTTCCGATTTTGGATTAGGTAAACTTGTCATATAATAAACTAGAAATTAGAAAATTGATTTTTCAGAAGTAAATGAATTATATGGAAAACAAATTACCAGCCTGAAACTTCAAGTGATAACATGGGGGAGCGGAAGTGTTCAAAATGGCCTACATAATCAAAGTGGCCCACATAAAAATAGTATCTAAATATACAAATGTAAATATATTCTATTACAGATATATGTAGAAGCTGTAATACAGTGAAGCCATGGTTATTCGTTTGAATGGTTGCTGTACTTTTTATTATAACAAAAGCTTGTGCCAGGAAATGATGAATACACACACACACACACACACACACACACACATACATACATACATACAAGCATAATTTGCTTTAACGTATTATTTTTAAAAATAGACTGTGTAACCTTCTCTTTAAGTTCATGATACTGCTTCCACTGACGTTGGGATTCTGAGTATTGGCATTGACGTTAATTGGAACTGTCACTATATGATCCTATATGTTGTTCATGATGTTTAAATACTAGGAATGTAGTTTTAAACTGAAAGGACTTTAAAGTGTTTATGGAATGATACTTTTTATGGTGCATTTGTACAGTACTCTGATCACTCTGTTAGAGGAGGTGGAGTCCCCATTTTACAGATGGGGAGAATGAGGCACAGATATTTAGGGTCCCTAACTTGCATTGTTGAAGTTCATGGCCAACTTTCAGTGATTTTAGTGGGAGTAGGATTTAACATAACTTCCCAAAGATCTAAACAGTGAATCAGTGACAGCCACGATTAAAATATAAGAGTCCCTGACTCCTAATCTGGTACTTGTATATGTAGATTCACCTGTGTCTAAAGTGCATATCCATCATTCTACAAAAGAGAGTTTAACATTAGTGCTTTATGGCAGTGAGAAGCATCAACACAAGGAGATTTAAGTAGAGATAGGTATGTCTAGCTAATATATCTTCGATCATTCAAACTTTACTTTTATCGGGTCCTTTGTGCATACTTTAGTACTGAGTTAAAATTAGGGGTATATAGTCGTCCTGATCTTGCATAGTCTCTCACTTACATGATCAGGCAACAGATTTTCAGGATTGGGCCCACTATGACTGTCCTTTAAAACCTGTAATAATATACAGTCATACTTCCATCCCAAGATGATCAGATTTTTCTCTTGTGATTCCTTTCCTTTTATACTTTTTTTATATTTTCATAACTGAAATTGTTGAGGATACAGGAAAATTCTAATCCATAGAAACTTGATTATTAAGTAGCTAAAATATTAAAATATGTTGAAAAAATAACTTTGTCATGCTATCATATTTTGTTTAAAATCCCCCCCCCCACGAACATAGCCAGCAGATACTTGGTAGTGGTGTTTTGTTTTGTGTTGCATACATTTACTCTATTTACTCAAACTTCAAACTTCAGGTTTAATCTGCTGTTGTTAATTTATTTCTTATTTGCCTTCATTTCTATGACAATATGGTCTGTTATGAATTTGGATTTCAAATACTATAAAAGATGCATTTTTAAATAAAATAGACTAAATATATGTTGTGTGACTAAAGCTGTAATATAGAAACTAACAAGGTTCAAATCAGTTGGCACTAGATGGGGAAACTTGCGATTAGTTCGTATTTAATTTTTTTAGTATTTTAAGTTGCTGTTCAGGTAATAAAATTTTAAACTGAAAAAAATGACTGTTTTCTAAAAGTGAGAAATGAGAAGGTAGTATAATGCTGGGAACAGTTCGAATCTCTTTTCTTTTTAGTATATTTTTTGAGTAAACTTGCTCCTTTTGAGTGTCAGACCAAAGTCACTGACAGGCTAAGTGCTGGCTTGTTGCTTTGGAAGCTTTCACTGAGCATTACTAATTCCTTTAGTCCTAATCGGCAATAGCCCCCATTTTCTAGCTCATGACCTCTCATCAGTAGATACTTCTACTTATGCCAAGCTGTGTATAGGGTGTGTGTTTGTTTTACAAATGTGGACTACAAAGACACTATAAAACTTACATTTTTGGACTTAACATTTTGATTCAGCCACCTTAACATTTTTTTCCACTCTTCGGCAAATATTTGTGATGCAAAGTTTTGTTCACGTGAATGTTCACAGAGCAAATTTTAGGCAAGTAGCTGAGATTTGTTTAATTAAGAAGCAGAATTTTTGGGAGGGATGAAAAGAAATTTATTTTATATGGGAGTATATAATGGAGCATCATCCAATAGTGGAAAAGGAAAAATGTCACGTGAATTACATGACTATTCACATAATGATTTACAAATATCAAATGTGGGAATACTGACTACAAACAGGCTAAAAATCACAGACATTGTCAAACAACTTCGAATAATAAAAATACATAAAAACATTGATCTAATTGTAGACAATTTGAAGAGGAAAAGGGGTTATGGGCCAGATCCATGGGTGGATTGACTTAATAAATCATTAGAAGTGATACATTTGGCCTGCTCTATTAAGAACATTGCATCCAAACACTTCAATTAAAAAATTTCATTTTTTCCCAAATTTGAAGTATTACAAACGAGGTCCCTTCTTACAGAAATGGAAACTTGTAGAACTCCAATTCTCATCTATTTCTTTCAGTTTCCGTGGTAACTGATAGTGAACTGTTGAGATTAAGATGAAGACTCCACAAAAATAATGATTT